TTGTAATACTATAAATGTAATATTTGTTGTCTGTCATTGTAGCTGGGATAATTTTACTTATTAAAGCTCATAATCTTACCACTTGAAACATCACTAGTCCTGAAGCTGCTGGTAGACATCACGGTTGGAATTATCAAAGGTTTTTGACACCTGAGAGACACCGTAGCAACTCCTTTGTGTTTGGAAGCGGTGGGTGGGGGTGGGGGGAGGACCAGGGAGGATGATTCAACCACTCAACCACTAGATGTCGCTGAAAACAACAAATCCTACACACTGTGCCTTTAACAGAGTAGTCTTTCAGAAGCTTTTGGCAGTTCATACTTTATTTCTGAGTGCTTTTCTTCTTTTTTTCCTCAGCACAACTACTCATATATTTTTTCTATAATTGCAATCGTTTTCATATATGTACAGTACTACCTTGTGTGACCAGCAGCCATTAAAATGACTAAAAAGCTCTTTTATAAGCGCATAAATGTGCATTCAGCAAAAGAGAAACATTTAACAAGCATGTTGCATTTTCACACGTGTGCACTTTTCACTGTTTTGAAAAACTGTCACATTAAAAAACCTGTAATTTCAGATCTTCTGGCCCTCAATAAGGAACATCTTCATTCCCGTGTTTCTCAACTGCTGGCTGGCTAAATGTGCTTTGGAGAACATGATTGTGAGTGGAAGCCGTAAACTTAATTGTGTTTAGTAATGACCTGTTTTAGGCATCATCTTAATGACTGGGTAAGAGAATCACAATTTCCTCTATTTTTTATGAATAAACACAAAGAGCAGCATCTTCTCTCCATTTGGTTCTGCTAGTGTGTGCGCTCACAGAAAGGTGTGCTGTTAGAAACGATTTGCTCTTTTGCTAGCATTTGTTTTCTCAAACTCTTTTTGTGCTGAAATGCTGCAGAACAGATGTTCTTTTTTAAACGCAAAGTATTTTTATTAACTGTAAAAGGTGAGTTTAATGAGTTCAAACCTGTGTATTATTGACTTTTTCACCCTCTGAATGTAATCTGTGTTGGTCTTTCTGGTGCAGAACGACGTCCACAGAGCAATTCAGAGGACGAACTCGGCCATGTTCAACCAGGTCCTCATTCTCATCTGCACCCTGCTCTGCCTTGTCTTCACCGGGTGAGGCTGACTTTTCAAGCATCATTGTAAAACCGTTCTTTATTATCGATTTCTGGAGACATTTAATCTATCTGTGTGTTGTTGCATACAAACAAATGTGCATCTAGTACAGAAATTATACAGAATTGAGAAGGAAACTTAGTGATGATGTTTGTGCACTCACATGTGAATCCAGGTGAACTTGTATAATCTGAGACTGTCATTTCATTGCAAGGACAATTAGGCACAAAAGGATGTGATATTTCTCAGCAAACACTTTTCTGATATTATAATAATAAGAAGCTAATGTTATGAGTCTAAGTGGTGAGACTTTTTCTAAGTTTCTCAAGAAATCAATAACAAACACGAGTCCAATTACTAAAGATCTGTTTCCATATTTCCTGTACCGTTAATCACTTCCTGTTATATTCAGGCAACTATTAAGATGCTGTTAATACAAAGGGGCATTAATGAAGTTAAATGTTGCTGTAATGATGCACAAACTGTCAATGTTTGAGGGATAAAATTACACAATGACATTTTAATGGATTGTTTTGAGTACAAATTTAATGTCTGTAACCGACAAAACAAAAAGGCTGTGGTCAGAGACCATCACCTGTTTACGTTGATGTCATTATTTTGTTTAAAACAGCACATGTGGGATTCAGCATCTGGAGCGAGCAGGTAAGCACCTCTCCCTCTTCAACTCCTTCTACTTCTGCATCGTCACCTTCTCCACGGTGGGCTTCGGAGACGTGACTCCCCGCATATGGCCCTCCCAGCTGCTGGTGGTCATCATGATCTGCGTCGCCCTAGTGGTGCTTCCTCTCCAGGTAGGACGACGCTCAGGTCATCTTTTGGAAACTCCCCCCGCCCCCTTTCTTTCACGACGTAGTCTGCCGTGTGTCAGTTCGAGGAGCTGATCTACTTGTGGATGGAGAGACAGAAGTCTGGAGGGAACTACAGCCGCCACAGAGCTCAGACGGAGAAACACGTCGTTCTGTGTGTCAGCGCGCTCAAAATTGACCTGCTCATGGATTTTCTTAATGAGTTTTACGCACACCCCAGACTGCAGGTATAAAAAAAATAAATAAAAAAGCACCCACGTGCATTCTTATTTAACACATTTTGCTGCAGATTCTAACTGGGATCTTGTTTCATTTTCAAGGACTACTATGTGGTGATCTTGTGCCCAACTGAAATGGACCTGCAGGTGCGAAGGGTGCTGCAGATCCCTCTGTGGTCTCAGAGAGTCATCTATCTGCAGGGGTCTGTCCTCAAAGATCAGGACCTTCTGAGAGCTAAGTATGTGAAACTTAAAAACAGCCTCATTTCTTTTTTTACAGCTCCAATTCGGACAAAGTTGAGATGTTGTAAGAAATGGACATAAAAACAGAATTTAATGATTTGTAAACCTCAGTGACACCGTATTTTTTTCACAATCAAACTGATGTAAGAAATTGTACCATTTTTAGGGAAAACAGTTAATATTGAATTTTCTGGTAGCAGCACTTCTCAAAAATATCACCAGTGAGAAGAATCTCTTCTTTTAACAAGCTTCTGTAAACACGTATATTGAGGAGAGCTGTTTCTGGTGTTTTTGGAAGGAATCATGTCCCATTTATGTCTGATGTAGGATTTTAGCTGTTCAGCAGTCTTGGGTCTTCTTTGCCAGATTTTCTGATTTCTGATGCATTGAATGTTCTTGATTTCAACAGAATCAGACCTGTTTTTAATGAAGTGTCACATGAAGGTCCAAAGATCATTGGCATATACTAGATTTTCAGTCCTGTCCAGTCGGACACAAATATTTCTACAGATTCTTTTCATATTACGAATTATATTATTTTATTTTATTAAACATTATTTGCTATTATGTACTTCAGATTGTGGTTGATTCAAAATCTTTTCAAACTTCCATTGAGAACAATTGTTCTGAAATTCTTCACTGTTTTAGATGCATTTTTTCAAAAACAAGTCGACCTCAGAGATTCAGCCTCTTTAAGCTACTTTTTTGTACCCGGTCCTCTGACTCGTTGCTAATCAGCCTAATTAGCTGCCAAATGCTCCTCAGGCTGTTTCTCATTCATATCACTTGCTTTTACTTTTTTTGTTGTTGCCCATACCTCTTAAGCCCCATGCCCCCGGTTCCAGGGTCAAACAGCATTTTGGGTTTTCTATTTCTTTGATAGATAATAAGTTAACAGAAATTAAAAGAAATAGGGGAAAATGTTGTTTTGCCCTCAGCACCAGAAGATATATATATATATATATATACACACACACACAGTATATGTACAGTATATTTATATATATGGTGACAGGCATTTCTTCTAGGGTTTTAGTTTGGATTTGGTACTTCACAAAAAGACCTGCACAAAGTTAACATATTAAGTGTAAAGTTGAGAAACTGTGATTTAAATGTGCATGAATATTAAAGAGACTAATGGATTAACCTTTCTGACCTGGCAAACGGGAGATCTTTTCATATATTCATGAGGTTTTTTTTTTCTTCTTTTGATTTCTTTTCTTCCCTTTGATTGCTGCTTTTCAGCGTCGACTGCTTGTGGAATGGATCGGTGCAGGACAGAGAAATTAACTGGTAGGCAGAGATGTGATTACTGTGAACAGATTTAATTTGTTGTCCCATTTCTGCCACTTATCAGATGCTTATTAAAACCTGCAAAAGGCACATGCTCAGCAGCTTTGATCAAGATTTTAATCTCAGCTCATTATTGTATGTACTTCTGCTAGGATCTGTGGAGGTATTTATTTTTTGCTCACTGTCTTAAAAAGTGGGCAGTCATGTAACTGCATGTGTAACTTTATTTGTCTGTTAGCAAAATATCAAACCACTTGATGGATTTAAACAAAACTCTCAGAAAATGAATCTTGAATGTACATCTACAGCCGATTAACTTTTAAAATGAATCCATTATAAGGTGGCTGCCACAGCTAATTGATCTTAACAAACACATAAATGGACATAACTTGATATATTTTACAGATATTAAAGTTAAGTTTGGTTTGGTAGTAGCTGAGATTCATAGACATCACACAACACAGATCACACAAGATCTTTGTTTAAAACGTTGGCATGTAGGGTAGCTAATTGTTTATTTCAATGTAAAGAAATGTTTTTGTGTTTATTTGTATGTGCTCTTTCTGTTAGGGCATTGATCTTCTGGGTGGACAGGAAGGCTCCAGTCTGGGCCATTCAAGTGAGTCAAAACCAAATTAAGAGAAATACAAAATAATAAAGGAATAGTTGCACAATCTGAATATGTGTTTTGACCCATCTTTAATCTAAAGCATAAATGTTTAAACCAATTATTGAAAAGAAAACACTTCATATTTTTTACTATTTAAATGTTTCTGATATGCTGTAGGCTGTTGTAAGGTATTTACATGTTATGTTTATTGTTTTCCTGTTTGTTCAGGTAATTGTGGCCATTATCAGCTTCCTGGAGACAATGTTACTCATGTATCTGAGCTACAAGGTGAGAATAAGTTATAAAATGTAAAAACAAAAACAAACAAAAAAAAACCGTAATGTTCCATCATGATTAATGCATTCTGTACAACTCAAGCATGCAGCATTAGACTGTCAGTCTATAAGTGGTATAATTAAGCAAAGTCATTTGTCACAGCAACAATAAGAATCAAGGATTGGTTGAGGTGAGGAAGTGAGTGGTTGGTGAAGGATACATACAGTACTATATATACTGTATATACAGGTATGTGTGTGTGTTTGTGTGGGTGTGTGTGTTGATAGGGCAGCACAGTGTTAAGAGCTGTCATCTCTCGGTGAGAGGGTCATAAGATCACCTCCCGACCTGGGGTCTTTCTGTGCCGAGTTTCATCTGGGTACTCCAGTTTCCTCCCACAAATGTTAGGTTGATGGATGGATGGATGGATGGACGGATGGATGGATGGATGGATGGATGGATGGATGGATGGATGGATGGATGGATGGATGGATGGATGGATGGATNATATTGCACAGATCACCTATATATTTTGTAATAACTTTTTAGAAAATAAACTTGTCAAAACATATTTTACTTTATAAAATGTCATTTTAACTATTTATTAAAGGAGATGCATCTAGTAAATAACTGCTTCTCTGGAATTAGTTAGCTGAAATTGAATTGACTTTTTAGAATATAAAACCTCTTTCACTCTATTTTTAAGACCATTTTATTTCTGTTGCTTTGACATGAATGAATCCATCGACAGTAATGCTCCTTTAAGCTGAATGCAGGTCAACATATACACAGGGCTAAAAAAATGATCCTTTTAGTCAACTCAAAACCGAACTCAAGCAATAATTTGGTTGTTACTACAGATCATTTCACTCAGTTTAGCTCTTTCTGTAGGGGTTTCATGAGTTCTATGATTTTCTTGATATTACAGACGTGTGTCAGTTGTTTCAAAGATTTGTACAGGGAATTATTATTTTAAAATAAGTGCTTTGATGAAAATTGGTTATGTAACTACGCTGTATATGTTCACCAGGGTTTTAATAGAGCAATTAGAAAGAAAAGACTGGGTGTGTGGCGCTCTTGCATCCTTCATCTGGCACCGTTTCAAATCCTCCCACACTTGTTTTGCATTCGGCACTCCTCTGGCTGTGTTAATCGTATGCAAAAAACAGGTCCACGTTCACACAACATTCAGCGTTTCAGGTTGCTTGAATGTCTCATGATAACGCAGGCAGTACTTAATGGAATAATGGATCAAATTACGTTAAATTCTTACAGCTCAGAGGTCCTTTCTATTAATTCTGTGGTGTCTTGGTGTGATTCTTTCCCTCTGTTATTATAAATGACTTGTTCAACTTTTTTCAATGTTGTGACTCTGCTGCAGAATGGATGACGCTGAGGCTTGTTTCATCCTGAGCAGTCGTAACGAGGTGGATCGAATGGCTGCGGTAAGACGAAGAGCAATTAATGCACCCCGTTGTAATTTTTTTCTATTTTAATTGTTCTTTTAATGCCATCCATAAAAAAACACACCCATGAAATGTGCAATGTTTTGTTTTCTTTTTTTGTCCCAGGATCATCAGACCATCTTGAGAGCTTGGGCTGTGAAAGACTTTGCTCCAAACTGTCCTCTTTATGTCCAAATACTTAAACCTGAAAATAAGTTCCATGTTAAATTTGCTGGTAAGAGTTTTAAAACAGTATAATTCTTGTTAGCACCCTGACCATCACTTTAATAATAACCTAACTGTATAATTTTTAAATATTTGAATTAAATGAATCACGTGATGTCCTGGATGTGGAAGCTGTTAGCAGGTTTTGTTGGAGTTGTGCTCCTCTTCATCAGGGGTCATCAGCTTCATCAGCTCTGAGGCCTTTCTTGTTTGCTGTGGACAGTTTTGGCAGATGAGGTCAGGCAGAAGTCCTCATGAACTATGATGTTTGCAGATGAGCTTGTAGCACGTAGCAGGTAGAGGTAGTGTTTGCTCCAAAGAGAAGCAGAAGAAGAGTTAGTTGAAGAAAGACAGAATTCATAGACAAGTGAACCTGTAAAGAGAAGAGGTGTTGAAAGTGTGTGAGGTTACAACCATCTAAAGTATGGGCTTCAAATTAATTTTCTCTGAAGGCCACGTGAGCATTATGGTTGTCTTCAAAGGGTCAGTTGTAATTAACTTCGACATGTTTAATTTGGGTAAACACAAAATGTCACGTTCCTCATCTCATTGCTATGGCTGCTTAGCACCACTAAAAATCAATAACTGAGCTCTACATGGTATGTTGTGCATAGTAACAGCTTTTAAACATGTCCTCTTATAAACACTGAACAGTAACATGTGCGTGACTGACTAAATGGGAAATAAATAATACAGAAATACTGTTAAAAGTACTGTAAAAGTTGAAGAGTTTTACTCACTTGTGAGTTGTAGTGAGCAGCTGCCATCTTGAATTCTGAACTCTCCCACTTTCCGACAGGGAATTACCACTGGAGTGGGCAGTTCCAGTTTAAATTTATGATTCTAAGTGGGAAAGTCCCACTTCCCAATACAACACTGCCAAACAGCTGGTGAAAATACAGAGAAATTCAGATTTTGTATAGTAAATTTTCCCAGCTGCTGGCTACTTTTGAACTCTGTGCAACACCACGTAGTGGTGAGATGCCATCATTTTGTGGCTAAAATAATCAACGTGCATTATTGGAGATGTAGTTTATGGTCAATGCTTTCATTAAAGATTCATGTGCTTTTTTTCAAGACATTAAAACACCTTTGACACTTTTGCGAGCCACATAAAATGCTTTGTTCAAGTTTGGCCCACAAGCCTCGAGTTTCAATCGTGTTCTAAAGCCACAGGCAGTTTGCTATGAGGTGAAGAAGAGAGTGCAGACCACAGACTAGGTAGACCTCTAGATGTGAACCTGGAAGTTGAAGAGGAACTGGACAAACTTTTCCTGTTCCCATACAAGCTTTTAGTCTTGACTCCTCTGTGTAAATAAACAAGACAGTGCTGTTGCTGCTTATAAAATTTAAAAAATAACACCTTTGATAGTTTTCAGGTGTTGACTCTTGTTAACTATTGTTGATTTTTTTTTCTTTTGGGACAGTGTGCAATTAAAACATAATTTGATGCATTGCACCAAATTTAGCCCAAGGCTAATAATTTTCATCTGTAGTCCCATCAAACAGTAAAAACAACAGCATCCAACAGTAAAATAGAAATAGGAGAGGGAAAAAAAGAAAAAGAAAAAGAATATAAAATAAAACATTTTGCAATTAAAAAATACATAAAACACCCCACCCCACTCTCCAAACATAAAATCATGCCCACCTCCACCCCACCCTCCAACCAGAAGCAGAATAAAAAAAAGAAAATAACAGAAAAATGAAAACAATACAAAATAAAACATTTTACAATCAACAATAAAAATACATAAACACCCCACCCCACTCTCCAAACACAATAAAAAAGTTATGTCACTAGACATTCAACAAAAACCCCACAACTCCCCCAAACCAAACGCAAACTCTAAAATCGATTACCCAGTGCAATTTAATGATTGCAACATTGGGTAGATCTAAGATACTTTTTAAGATTATTCTTAAAACTAATAAAAGAACTGCAAGTTTTCACGTGATCGGTAGCAGCATTCCACTGAGCGATGGCTTTAACCGACAAAGCTGCTTGACCAAAGGCTGAGCGTCGAGCAGGAACTTCACAGTTCTGCCTGGATGTTCTAGTTAAGTGCAAAGAAACAGCTGAACGATAACAAATAAATTTTTGCAAACAGATTGGTGCTAAACTGTTTAAAATTTTATACTGCATACTGTTTCCATATTTGAAAAAAACTCTGAAATTTTCAAAAGAAAGCAAGTTATTTTTGTTGCTCTGAATAGTAAAATTATACCCAAGCCAGTATCACACTGACAGTATAAGCTTGAGTAAATCCAGTGGTTTCATGTAATCAAGATAATAAAAAAACTAAATGTATACTATTATTTATTTGCTTTTATTTTAAAGACAAATATGAAGTCTTTATTATTTTTGCTGCCTACAGTAACATATTTTTTATTAATAATGATTAATTTATAGGTTTGATTGTATTTTTACTGTAGTAGAAAATGTACAAAGTTCCACTTTGCACTGACTCTGGTTCCAAGAAAATAACATGGCAGTTTCCGTAAAATAAAAGACTCGCTGACAGAATGGAGACAAGTGTCAAAGAGAAGATTGTATTGAGACAGTGGCACTAGCAAAAAAGACAGGATAACATTGTGACCAAAAAAGGACAGGATGAGGAATGAGTGGTTTGGATGTGGATAGAAGAGGGATACTGGACAGATGGCATTGAATATGGAGAAGGTTCATGAATGAAGTAAAAAAAAAAAAAAGACGAGTGACAGAGGAAGGTTCAAGGAAATAATCTGCTCTGATCACCTGATATTTTTAATGTTATGGAGTTTCTGTTGTTTTTAAAAACACATTTTTGGCTTTCAAGTTAACTAAAATTCACAAATTTACCTTTTTATGGTAACAAAAAAAACTTGTGTTTGATAGTAAACCAAGCTGGATTTGTTTCATTTGAAACATTTTGCCATCAGCATTTTCAATATATTTTAAATGGAAATTATTCACTCTTCCTGTTCTGAGATGTAACTTTTAACTTCTTGTTCATTTTCAGATCAGGTTGTGTGTGAGGAGGAGTTCAAGTACGCCATGTTAGCTCTGAACTGCGTGTGCCCCGCCACTTCCACTTTGGTTACGCTCCTGGTGCACACCTCCCGTGGACGGTCAGTCGTCTTGCAACCCACGGAAGCATTTTGATTTCCAGCCCCCACTCCATGTCCCCTACCTAACCAGCCACCCACCCAGTGTGACTGCAAAGTTCAGATCCCGTCGCGTGGTCATACCAGCTGATTTGTAAAAAGAAACCAACGGACAGGCACAGGAAGTTATAAAGAAAAAAAGCCAAAGCACAGACGAAAGTCTTAGTTTATTGTGGAACGCCACGGGAAGTGAAGAGAGTGCAGCAAAAAAAAATGGAGAACATGTGGCACGCTAAATAGATTTTTTTTTCCTCACTCCCTTTTTAAAAGCATGAATTCTCTATAAAACAGTTTTAAAAGCTCTGTGGTGGTAAATGATTTTTCCCAGCATGCAAACAGACAAGTCATGTCAGTGGCTGAGGCAATCAACCACCCACATCTAAGGGTGAGGAGGGGGGGTTATATGTACAGTAGATACTGTATATCTTCATATCCATATCAGTATATATCACAATAGGCTTGTCAGAGTGGGACATCCAAGTTATTATCCATAAGTATCGATAACTGCTAAAAGACAAGTATGCAAACCACTTTCTCTGTATTATTCTGGGCATCTCTAGTAGCTCATTCAACTCCATTAAGTGCTTGAATGATAATTGTTATTACCGGAATTCATTACAAAGACTGTAATAAAGCCAAGAAGATTGACTGAGAAAGACAGAATAATCTGTGTTCTTTCATTAAAAGACCCAGTGTGACCCTGAAAGTCTAAAAAGATGTTTTTTTTAAGGAAGGCTTCTTTTTCTTTCCAAATAATGATTGGCTTTTATCGCTAATAGACGTTACTGGTGTTAAAAGCAGGGTTTCATTGTTTCGTGCTTGCCAAGACTGCATGAATCAGTCCAGCTAAAGCTATTATATTTTAAGGATATTTGGTTTTACCGTATTTTTTTTCCTTTCTTTTTTTTATATTTCCTCACTGCAGAGAAGGACAACAGTCTCCGGAACAGTGGCAGAGGATGTATGGATGTTGCTCCGGCAACGAGGTCTACCACATTCGGCTGTGTGACAGCAAGTTCTTCGGAGAGTATAATGGCAAAAGCTTTACTTACGCCTCTTTTCATGCTCACAAGAAGTGAGTTGACAAGATCGCCAAGTCGTTTTCCTCAAATGTTCACAAGTTGAGGTTTTGCTGATTTGTATTGCCCACAGTGACAATAATGTTCTCATC